CACCCACCCACCGGAGCCACCCACCACCCGCTGCCTTTGCCTTGAGCACCTGCAACCTCAGGGCCAATGGGGGTCGGGGGGGGGTGTGCAGCCCTCCCAGGTCCCCCTCGGCCACCTCCTCCCCCTTTGTCTTCTCCAGTCTGCCTCCTCCCTCCCACCCCGTGGCCTCCCAGCCTCTCCTGCCCACACTTCACCTCCACAGTTGCCTTGTCTGGCACCTCACCTTCTTCAAGTTCTTCCTTTGAGTCTAACTCAACTCTCTGTGGCTGCTGCGAGGCCCACGGCCCGGACGGGTGACGGGAGCCTGACGGGAGCCTGGGGCTGGGCCCGGTGTGGAGGGTGTTTGGTGCTGGGAAGCTTGTCTCTTGGCAAACACTCCTGGGCGGGAGTAGGATGAAGGGACAGGAGGTCCTGCAGGCGGTGAGAATACTTGGATGGGGCCTGTGAGGGAAGCCAGACTCCAGAGCCCCGGCCCCCACCCCAGACTTCCAGACCTGGCACGTCACCCTCTCTCTGTTCCTTCGTCTGTTTGTCTCTCTTTCTCTCCCTCCATCTCTACCTCTTTATCTACCTTTCTGAAACCATGCAGAGAACTAAGTTTTGAATCGGACTGACTTCTCCATTACTGGCCAACTGCCTTGGGCAGCCTTTTTCTCCCCACCCCACCCCTGCCTCAGTTGTCAGTTCTACAAAATGGGTATACTCTTCCGGTCAGGAATGACTTGAGACAGTGCAAGAAGGGCAGGGTTGGCCCTTGTCTCTGCTGCCCTCAGCAGGTGGGTCACCACCAGGGGGCTGGGGGAGCCCCACCCTTCGGGTCTTGAGCGGAGCAGGGAGGTGATGGTGGCGGCAGAGAGCCGCCTGGGGGTTGGGAAGCAGGCGGACCACACACGGGGTCCCTGTCCTTCACTGAGCCTCTCCCTCTCTCTCCACCCCACAGCCCCCCGGCGCCCTCGCGGAGCATGAACATTGAGGATGGCGTGCGCCCGCAGCTCCCCGTGCCCCCCACTGCCGCCCGGTAGGATGTCCTGGCCCCATGGGGCCCTGCTCTTCCTCTGGCTCTTCTCCCCACCCCTGGGGACCGGCGGGGGCGGCATGGCCATGACATTGGCGGCCGGAGGGGGCTCCCCGCCGGCCACCTCCTGCCCCGCGGCCTGCTCCTGCAGCAACCAGGCCAGCCGGGTGATCTGCACGCGGAGAGAGCTGGCTGAGGTCCCGGCCAGCATCCCTGTCAACACGCGGTACCTGAACCTGCAGGAGAACGGCATCCAGGTGAGCTGGGCCAGCAGCCAGTGGGGGCGGGGGGGCACAGGTGGTGGCCGGGTCCTCCTGCTCGAGCTGGCAAAGGCCTTCTGGGTGTCCCCTTGGCACTTACGAGATCCTGTTTGCATCCTATTAACTTGAGCTCAGTCTGTCTGGGTTTTCTCACGTGAGGTTCCCTGTCTTTGTCCAGCGTGTTGGGGCTCAGGGGTAGGACCACCTGCCTGCCTCCCACAGTACAGGACAGGTGAGCCCTTGGCCTGGCCCCGGAGTCACAGGTATGCAGAGTGACCCTTGCACGAGGCCTCTGTGCTGTCCACATGGCTCCAGCCGCGGCATGGCCTTGGGCTCGTGAGGGCATGACTTCGCGTCTCAGTTTCTTTGTCTGAAAAACGGGGATGACAGAGCCCCTGCCCCAGGGGGCTGGGTGAGGACTGATGGGTTTCATACTTGTCAAGGACTTAGAATCTTCTGGCACCTGGCGAGCACTCCTTTGCTGTGCAGTGAGCTCGTGTGCCCGCTTCCCAGAGGTGGTATGACATTTGGAGATCTAAGCACTCTCACGTGCCTAGTCCCATGTCGGCACATGGCTGGTGCTCCGATGGGGCACCTGCCATCCGATTCACTGTGACCGTGACTGAGGTGGGCTATAAATGATGCTCTGAGGGCAGAGCTGTGCGTTTTTAAAGCAGGGTCTCTCCTCTGCTCTCGTGGCATCTGGGGCCTGGTGGGCTCTGGTTGTGGGGTCTGTGCTAAGTGCTGTAAGATGTGGAGCAGCATCCCTGGCCACTAGACACCAGCAGCAACACCCTCGCGCCCACTTCCCCAGACACCTCCAGATGTCGCCAGATATTCGGGGAGGAGGGATTGCCCTAGTTGAGAACGACCGTTTTAAAGCCACGTGTCAGTACCCCACACCATGCAAGCCTCTCCTGACTCTGGTGCATAAAGCCAGGAGAGAAGAGGGTTCCTGTGTGGTGCCCCAGGCCCCTGGGAGCTAACATCCCTTCCCCCATGGCACACCCTGGTCTGTCCCTGAGAGGGAAAGGGGTCGGTGTTCCCCACCGCACTGTCCTGGAGAGCCTGGGGACGGGGTTCCCCTCTGCAGAAGAGAGGGGATCTTTTAGGGACACAGCACCAAGGGGGCTGCCAACATCAAGAAGCCTGCCTTGGGTGGCCACGGAGCAAGGACCAGTGAAGCCAGAGCTGGGGTCCAGAAGCAGAAGGGGCCTCGTCCCCTTGCCCCATCCCTGCTTCTGCAGGATGGTGTCCCCCAGTTCCAGGCCCTCCTCCTCAGCAGCGTCCCTTTCCTCCCCGTGCGCTTTGAGTCCACTCTGCATTCTCAAGCTCCAGTCTCAGCTGACCGGCCCCTGACTCCTGGAGGGGGACCGACACCCTCACTTCGTTCTCCCCGTACATGCCCTTGTTCCCTGGACTCTGTCTGTCCGTTTCCGTCCTTCATTTACTCATGTGACGATCAACATGTGGCCAGCACCAGGTCAGTGCCAAGCCCTGCTTTTGGTCGTGAGCGGGATGGGTGGGCCCCTTCCCTGCTCCTGGGCGGCTCACCTTGCAGAAGGGAAGAAACAGTAAACAAATGGGATGGCACATTTCCGGAAGGGGCGATGTTAGCCCATCAGGGAGTACTTCTGTGATGAGGGGCTGCACCCACAGACTCGTCCTGGCGACCAGGGATGCCCTCCCCCAGGCCCAGCCCAGCCTCCCAGTGGCCACCGAGGCGTGCTCGCCTCTGCCTAAAACCCTCTGCAGGTTCCTGGACTCTGGAGTGAAGTCCAGGCTCTTTATTGTGATAACAAGTCTGTGCCGCTGGGCACAGCCTGCCAGGCTTAGAGTTGACACCAGTTGCCCTCCCAGGGCTGAGAAGTTGCTCAGGCCACCCCTCTGCCTGAATGCGCCTCTCTTTGGCCCTTGGGTCCCACAGGCGAGCCTCCCTTCACTGCCTTCCAATCTGGGCCCACAGACTCCCCCTCCAGACATCCGTGCCCTTGCTCTTGATGCCTGTGTATGTTAAATATCTCTTGATTGTCTTCTGGGTGGGGGGCAGTAGTCTAGGACAACCAACCCTGCACCTCCCCCAGCCTGCATTCTAGACATAGGCATGATAAGTAAGTAAATGGTGTGTGTTCAGGATGCCGAGGGCTGTGGGAAAAGGAAACAGATGGGGGAAGGGGATAGTGGGTGCAGGAAGAGGGGTGGTTGGCTGCAGCTTCAAAGATATGAAGTCAGGGTGGCCTCATGGAGAAGGGGACATTTGAGCAAGAGATGAAGGTGGAGCCTTGTGGAAGGGCATTCCAGGCAGGGAGGACCGCAAGTGCAAAGGCCCTGGGGTGGGAGCCTGCCTGGTGTGTGGGAGGAACAGCGACAGGCTGGTGTGACTGGAACAGAGAGAGCCAGGGGCAAGGATGGGAGGTGAGGGCAAAGTGACAGATCCTGCAGGGCCTCATGGTTATGGTGAGGACTTGGGCTCTTCTCTGAATGAGACGGGAGCCATTCTGAGCAGAGGGCAGGTGGGCTGCTGACTTGGGTCTCTCTGGCCGAGGTTCGGGAGGCCTATAGGGCACATGGATCAAGCGCCAGGGGGCCTGGGTTTGAATCCTGGATCTGCTATTTGCTTGCTGGTGCAGAATTCGGGAGAGAAATGCCGGGAGCTCGGCTGGGACCAGGCTGGTTGCAGTGGAGGTGGTGAGAAGTGGGCAGATTCTGGGTCTGTTTGGAAGGTGGAGACAACAGGATTTTCCAGCAGAGTGGGTGTGGGAAGAGAGAAGAGAGGATGACTCCCGGGTTTTAGGTCTGAGCTGGCCCCTTTGCTTGGGCCTGTTTGCTTGGGTGTCTGTCACCCCGTCTCCCAGGCCTCTGGCTTCCAGACTTTTGATCCACACCCCTGTCAGAGGGATGGAGCCCCATGGACGTGGGTGAACTAATTTGTAAGTCATGCACAGGTCTGCTGTAGGCATGCATCATGCGCCCCCAAACTGCCTGCTCCCCCAGGGTGGAGAGTGTCCTGCCCCCAAGAGTGGACTCTTGTGAACATTCAGTGAAACGGGCCTCCCTTCGGGGACACCCTGCAGGTGGGGGGCGGGACTGAGGCTGCCGAGGGAACCATCAGAGGAGCTTGAGGAAATAACTTTTTAATTATCCAAATAAAAAAATGAAAAAAAATCACCCTAGTCCCACCACCTAGATATAAATAACTACTGTTTATATTTTGTTTTAAAGCCTTCCTGGCTCTTTCCTGTGCCCATGTCAATGGATTTTTAAATTATTTATTACAGAATGAATGCAAATTAATTTAGAAAAACTAGAAAATACACCTAAGTAAAAACACAGGGACAAAAGCCAAGTGGAATTCGACAAACAGGTAACCCCATTAGCATCTAGTTCTTTCTGTTCAGATCCTCTCCACACATGCTCCCGGTGTGTGTCTGGTGGGCAGCCCTGGCCGACGTATTTCTGGCTTTTTTTTTTTTTTTAAAGATTTTATTTATTTATTTGAG